CAAGGCGACGCCCATGATTATTTGTTTACGTTCGTGATAATAATTTAATATGCTGGCCGTTGCGTTAACTATATTACATTTATTATATTCTCGTTATACATAGAGCCGTTTTTCAGCATTTATTTAAAGCCAGCAGCGAGGAGGTGTTTTTCGGTGTGTCAGGGTAGCGACTGTGGTGGAGTGCTGGAGTGAAACTTTGGGCTCGTTACGGAGGCGGTCAGTTGTCGCGGCAGGTGTGGCTGCGCAGTCGCGCGACTTTGGTCGTTTTGTCGTACGTCGGTCGTGTCGCTGTAGTGTGTCTTGGCCTTAAGTATGTAACAGCGAGCAATGACTTGCGTACTCCAGCCACTGCCATACTGGTATACGGTATATATTACGATCCGAATTCTTGGATGTATAATTTATAAAACACGGCTTGACCACAAGACCAACTATTGATCGAAGGCACTTACCTTAGCGAGCGATGATCTATCATGAAATTATATAGCCTCCAAGAAACGTCTTTGCTAGGGATCAGAGCAACCGTATAGACAGACTGTATACAATGTCAGTCGCCCCAGTACGCACAGCCTCCGGCGGACTTAGAGCCTGACATAACAGCAAACGGTTTCAGCTCCACTTTGCTATCGACATTCTTCCTCGCAGTCGTAGTTGTTCACTATAATACTCCGATTACTTCCATACGACTATTATATACACAAAATTTTGATTGCTTTCGCTTATGCTACATCGTTTTGTGTTATAAATAATTTTAGATACTCAGAACAGAAACATTTGCATAGACGCCATGCTTGGTTTACAATAGGCCTCCCGACTGTGAGGGCTGTCATCCGGCTTGGCTCCTGCGTCATTTGTTAGAGTACAGAAGAGAGGGCGAATCAGCATTTCTAGGTATCTATCTATTTCTTATGGTCAACAAGGCTAGCCTATCATTTCAAGTGCGCGGAGCTATTTTCAAGTGGAAAAACAGCAAATGGCAATCCAAACGGCGCGGAGTCGCACGTCGAACAGAACATTTAAAATTTCTAGTTATTGCAATGTTTGTTGCGTAGGACAAATTTAGATGTTTTAGCTGAACATTAGGTTTCACTTGACGTCAACATCCGGGTATTCGCCCGGCGCCGCCATGTTCGGGGCAAGCACAGTAGACTCGCAAGCATTGTTTTCATTTAAGACATTATGACATTAAGGTTATTGGGCTGCGATTTCTATGGTTATCTAATTAAAGAGAAAGTATAACTTTGTTATAGGTAGACTAACGACTATATAAGTAATTATGAAGCAGCGTAGGTGGCTTACACAGTTTGTTTACATACCGGGCGTAGTCGGACGCGTAACTATTATTCAACTACAAATGGTATGATTATTGTTACGCTCGAAGCTATGATCTTGCGCAGTCATAGCCTTGCCGGGTTATTTACATTACTATCATAGTGGCGGGAAGTTGGACTTGCAATTGTAGTATACGGCAGTTGCTGTGTATACTGGTGGATAGACTGATAGCTAAGTAAGTGTACGTACGTGCTGCACTAAAAGTAAAAGGAAGTCATAAACGACAATAAATCTAATAGTAATATTAATAATTAACGTAATCATTCATAATAATAGATGTACTACAGATAGAGACAGAATGTAATTAAAAATAAATAAATGCTGAATGTTGGGGTGATACTCCATTAATTAGGAGTGTTTCCCAACTTTAATGTCATTAATGTTTAGGGTTATGTTATAGGTTAGGTTAGGGTTAGGGTTAGGATTATCAATCATTAATCATTACTGATATCAAAGTTGGGAACACTCCTAATGGAGCGTTAGCCGAATGTTGTAATTATATTGTAACGTACCCCCTTTCTTTACTTTATCATTCCCCCTTTTGTCATGTTTCCCTTGCTTGATCTCCCCCTTGTGTTATGTCGCAATAACCCCTCCGGCCGTTATCACCGGTCTAAGTAGCCCGACCAGGCTGTGTGACTATAACGTCAATATACACATCTTGATTTATGACCGTTTCTTGGAGCTACGGTCTAAGATACGATTGCTGGATTGTGAATTCGGTTGAACCGCTGCGTGGTGTGTGGTGCGAACGAGGAAGACGTAGATAAATTACTTTATGCATCGGCCATTCAACCAACGCATTTAATCAAAGAATAACGTCAGACTAATACACTTACATATATACGCGGATCGGCTCTATACGATAGGTAGATTCATAACACAATAAGAACGTGACACAGTAAAGAGCCGGCTTAAAGCACGGCAGGGATGAGTACCACCGAGAGAGAGCGCCAAGAGAGGGAGAGAAATCGCGAAGCTCCCAGTTACTCCTGATTGGTCAAACGGTGAATTGAGATAGCGTTATTCCGCGATTGGCTAGAACAAAGCGCGATTGGCTAGAACAAAGCGCGATTGGGTAGAACAAAGCGCGATTAGCCATTCTGATTGAAGGCTATATATATTGCCGTGACAATAATTCCGTTCCACACGTTGGTGACCAGTGTTTGCCACTGAGCAGAAAAAGCTGTAGGCCTGCAGGGCCTATAGCTTCTAAAAGCTGCAGGCCCGCCAGTAAAGCTGTAGGCCCGCCAATTTTGGAGCAAATTACAGTAATAAAACAGCATATCATGTTCTTCCCTGTCGTCACCCTGCTAAGATAACTGCCTATCTCGATTTTTTGGGTTTTGAGAAAAATGGAAAAAACTATTTCATTTCATTAATACATTTTGTTTATTGATGATTTCATGTAAAAATACAATTCATAACAATACAATGTGCATGCAACTACAAGTATTACGAAATTCGATTACATAACTCCCTGAGATGACTTAGGCAATATGATTAGTGAAAATATTTGACTTAGGCAATTTGTATTGCACAATAATTAGCCTTTTTGGGGCTCAAGTACAGCAACCTTTGCATCACAATGAGCAAATAATTCAGAATTAACATGATTAACCCCCTGAGGTCTAAACTGGATGACAAAATACATTCAGCAGGGCTGCCAACATTGGGTGATAGGTGAGAGTGAGATGTGAGGGAGCGAAGCGACCGAGCGGGGGGTGGGTGTGGGAGGGGTGTTTCCCACCTCCCACGGTAGGAAGCTTTTGCATTTTATAACTTCAATTTGTGCAAGTTGGTGCATACTAAAGTGACTGTTTTCAGATATTGTAAGTTTTTTTTGCTGTGCGTGAGATATTTCAGCGTTTTATTCATGAAGAGATTTTCATGCGTGAGATAACTCAGCATTTTTTTGCTGTGCGTGAGATATTGTAAGATCAGCATGAGAGCGTAAGATTTGGTCAAAATGCGTGAGTCTCACGGTCAATGCGTGAGAGTTGGCAGCCCTGCATTCAGTGACAATACAGTGCAGGCCTAGAAGTTGCTATTCTGGCCTGTTGCTGGGTTTCACGGCTTGTGGTTTAGGATCAGTGCACTCCATACTGTATTAGGAGTGTTCCCAACTTTAATGTCATTAATGGTCATAATAACATATATATA